TGCCTTTTTTCCCCGACACTTTCTTCTCCGCCGCGGGCCTCGTTTCCGGTTGGGTACGCGTTCCCTCGCCGTCCCCCCTCGGCACCGTGGTCTCTTCCTGGACGGACATTTTGCCCGACAAATGCGCGTACACCCGTTGTCCAAGCCGCTCGCTGCTCGCTGCATCCAGGGGAAGGTCGTCCCGCGCGCCTGTTGCCAGGCCGAGAAGGCTGCGCCACGTGCACCGTTCGCTCGGCGGCGCGGCGCGGCGCGGCTCGCGAGAAATGAAGCATGAACATAAACGTTATCGCGAAAAAGTTGCTCCCGGGCTTTTTGCTCGGCCATTAAGCGTTTTGCCACGCGGTGGCCTCGCCGGCGCGACGCTGATTCACGATTCCGTGTCATTCGGCGCTTCTTGCGCGGCGTGGCCGCGTTCCTCGCCGGGATTCTTCGCGGGCCCCCCCTTATCTACGAGGCCGCACCTCCGGCCCCGCCGATCGTTACATAAATATTAAGTAATTTCGCGCGGCCGCGGGTCGGCTTCGTCCCAGGGAGATCGTCGGCGAGCGCGACCGGTCGCTCGAGCGGATATTATGCGCGCGCTAGGATCCCGCGGAAGACGATAAAACGGGGACATTAGTAACGCGAGATAAAGCTCGCGGTTTATGCGAGGGTTCGGAATCTATACCGGAGATTGTAAATTATCGGAATTACTCGAGGCGGATAGAAGAGCGCTTCCGATTTCTAATCATGGGAACTGACAGGGCGATCGTAACGGTACGATAGCGGCGCGGTTTTTCTTCGCCGCGAGTCGGCAGAGCGAGGACTCGCGACGCTACCCGAGGATGTCTAATTACACGTCCGATCGACCTGTCATTTTTCAGTGTGAATCAAAGCTTCGACTACTCTGTGGTTAGACTTAATAAACTCGGCAAGTTGGAAATGATATAGCGGCAATTATTCCTAGCTCGTCCTTTGTACTATGAACGCAGCAGTGATGAGACAGTTTCAACCGCCGACGATTCTCGATTTTTCAACGTTCACGGTCCGCGTTCGATAGCGGACAGCTCCGAAGATTATACCTTCCCTGTGTCCGGTAGATTCCTTGGTGCCACGTCCGCCATCCTCGACCGTTGCCGGCAGGGTCTGCTAGGTAGCCCCCATTGAGCCCGGCAGGCCCAGGATGCTCCCTTTTCTTACCTTTCTTTTTCCCGCTCCTCGTCCGTCCTCTTCCATCTTCCTCACCTTATTATCCTCAGCCGCCAAAGGACTCACGAGTGTGGCTGCAGAGGCCGGCGTGATTTCCGGAATCGGCGAGCGTTCTCCAATGGCGGCCCGCCATCGATCACGCCACCACCTCCGACCTCCGGCCGGACCTTTCGTGTTTCTAGACCGATAGCGGTCTCCGATCGGGACCGACTCGTCGCGTTGCACGGCCGGACGCTGTGTATGACACGGGAGCTCCACGGGTCCGTCACTAAAATCCCCCGTGAATTCTTCCAGTGCCATTTACAGAATCCAAGCCTCGTTGAAATCACGAGGACCGTCGTTGATGAAGTCCTCCCGCGTTCCCGGTCTATCAACGAAGTCAACGGCCGGTTACGCGGTGCCACAGTTGACACAGGCCCATCGGATTCGCGGACCGTGTCGAGCTATAAATCAGCCGAGCTGAAAAACCGGCGGCACTTTGCGAACGCCGCGGGCCGGGCTCGCGTATGCAAGAACCCGACGAAAAGAAGGAGATTCCTCGAGGATAATTCATGACTGGGTTATGCCGACGGTTTTCTTTCCCGTTTCTTGCCCTTCCGTCACGGAACGACGATCCTTCCCGGAAGCCGTGTCCGCTGGATCTGCCACGATTTGCCCACCGACCCAACGCCCTGCCTCTCTCTCTCTGTCTCTCTGCCCCTCTGTCTGTCCCCCTTTGGCTGTCCTTCGATTCTAACCGATTTCCCACCGTTCCACCTCTCTCCCTCACCTGTCCACGGACTTTTCGATTCGTTCCCGAAGCATCCCAGCGGGTATTCCTGAAATCAGGTGCTTTTTCTCGCATTTTCTCCATAGCTTCCCCGACGCGCCCCTTCATCCGAACGATTCTCTCCGCCGCCTCTAAGAATAACTTCTCACGGTCCCGCTTCTAGAAGCGTTCCCCGATAGCGCGCTGTCATTGCGCCAAACAATCAATTATGAATGGTTCCGGGGTACATCGAAAAACTCGTTACCGCGGCCGGATTAGTGTTCTTTCGGGTTCGGCCTGACTTCGGCCTTTTTCTCTTGTGGCACGTTCGAAAGAACCGTTCCAACAGTTCGTTTATATATAATAATCGTATCGGGAAGTGGCTTCCAGCGATTTATAATAAAGACCGAAGAAAGAGACAGAGAGAGAGAGAAAGGAGAGAGACACAGGGAGAGGGAGAGAGGTCTGGTATGCAAGGGAACCGGGAGCCCGGTCGCTCGCTCGCTCGCTCGCGCGCGCGCGTTTTCCCGTCTGGTTCTCACGATTCGAATCTTCTCAGCCGCGGCGTATATACCTGCGATTCTTCAACGACTATCTGCAAGTCTCCTGAGTTCTCAAGCCGCTCTTCCGGTCATGCTATCATTCCGGTTCTCACGCCTTGTTCGAAACATCGGGACACGGCCGGCATGGAAATAACAGGCCCCTTCCTACGGCTGGTCCCCCCGGCGGCGCCGTCGGTGACGCTCCGTCCGCGGTCTTAGACGAAACGCGTAATTACACGTCGGAATTCCGTGACACACGGCCGGATTATCTTTATTGGCCGCGCTCGCGCTCGCTATCGTCCCGGGGACGAAGGCGCGACAGCCGCGAAGTGTGCCGAGCGTTTATCGACACGATTTTCACGTGGTTCCCCGTCCTCCCGCCGGCCCGTGGACTTTTTCGTTCCCTTCCCGGTCTGTCTTTACGAGTTCCACGAAGCAGATCAGCGGTCCCGAGAAACCGTTCGCGCGCGGAACGGAGATTTATCGCGTCGGATTTATGGGTGCACGCGCTGCGCCTCGCCTCGCCTCGCCTCGGCCGAGTGACACCTTTTACGAGGTGTCCGGGTAACCGGAGTACCGGCCATTCAATGGTTTTCAGTGTTACCGGAGGATCGTACGGCGTTCCCGGAGGAACGCGGCCGATAGCCAAGGTTTATGTTCGCGTGATTATCGACAATTATATCTGCCCGGGACTCGCGGCGTTTCTTTTTTACGCCTCGCGGCACGAGCCCCGGAGTTTCTTTTAGAGATCGCGACGCGTCCGATTCAATTACCGTGCCCGGGATCGTCCGTAATCGTTCCGACCGGAGGTTGGACGCCGCGAGCGTGCCGCGGACGAGACCTGACTTTTCCCGAGCGCGACGGCCGTTTATAACGAAGATTAGCTCCCGCGACTGAAAGCAAACAAGGAAAAGCTGTAATAAATACGCGCCTGGAACTGGTTACGCGCTCGCGGCCGTGTAGAAAACCGTCGGTTTCACTTCGTACCCCTTGCGCTTCGACCTGTTCCCTGGGGGACCGGCGCTTCCTGTTCATCCGCAGCCGAGCAGCGCCTTTCAGCGGATTTCACGAGTTTCTATTCGATCGGTTCCAATCGTGTCGCTTCTGCTCGCGGAGCGAACAAAGAGAACTCTTCCGCCTCTTCGCGTCGAGTCTACTCCGTTTGGTTTCGATGGAAAATACCGCTTCTCTCGTCTACTTACTTGAAACCCGAGCGTTTCCGGTCGCGCGAGAATAGCCGCATTCCCGGCGACCGCGAACGAGGAAGCCAGCTCGGTCACGCGGCGTTTTTGAACGAGTCAGTCGCGAATTCCACGATTCGCCGCGCGTTCCAGCACGTCTCGCGACGCGGCGATCGCGTCGTATCGTCGATTCCGATGAAAAACCGCGTGCCGCCGTTGGCCGTCGTACGCGCGGCGGGGGATCGTTCGTCGCGGAAGCATCGGCTTGTCCATCGGCACGCGCGCGAGCGGATCGGACGGTTTCTTTTACTGACCTTCGTCAAAACTACAGAGCCGTTTCTCGCCGGGCAGTTATTTTCCGCGTGCGGCGCACATGCACACGGCGCGGCGCGGAGCGGCGCATTGCGTAACGCTTACAAAACTCGCGCCACGAGGCGGCGGGCTGAGTTTCGGTGGGACTCGGGGCCGCTTCCGTGAGACCTCCCGCGAAACGGGGAAAGAGAAAACTGCCGGGCCCGGTGCGTTCCCACCGGGAACCCGCGGTAATCTTATCGAGCATTATCGATCGCGAGACACGTCACGCCGGTTGGGAAAGAAAAGAGCCCGCGAACGAGCGCGGCGGCCGAGCGGCGACCGCGCGGTCCGCTCGGGGGAGAAGGTAGATAAGAAACGGAAGAGAAAGAAATTCGGCCGAGTTTCGCGCGGCGGATTCCGCGGCCGAAGGATTTCACGCGAGGAGGAAGCAAAAGGGATATCTGGGGCACGAGGGAGCGAGACGGAAGGGTGACGAT